TTTAGAGATGCGCTTACCACAAAAATTATTCTTACATCTTTGGTAAGGCCTATTAGAATATGCTTCCGTGGTATGGAACCCTTGTTATAAAGTTCATTCTGAGGAAATGGAGTCCATTCAAAAACAATTTTTACTTTTTGCCTTAAGTCGTTTATATTGAGATTCCTGTTTAAATCTTCCCCCTTACACTAACTGTTTCAAACTTATAAATCTCCCTACACTCGTTAGTCGTAGGGAAGTGCTTGGTATAATATTTCTTATAAAACTCATGAATGGGTCAGTCTGTAGCCCATCTCTGTTATCTGATATTAATTTTAACATTCCCGTTCGCTCTATCAATAGGTTTAGACCTTTACTTTTAAAATTTTCTAGAACAAATTTCGAGTTAAACGAATCATTCCGCCGTATATGTCACGATTTGAATACTCATTCCATCACATTTGATCTAACAGACTCACTCTTCACCATTAAAAAAATTATTTTATCTACTCTTAACAAGTAACATTCAAAAATTATAAACTTTAATCTAATTCTTAATTTTGGCTGTTGAAATTTCTGATTCTGTAGCTGAGCCGCTTACAGCTAATTCCGCTCGTTCGCGGATTACGCCCCTCGTGTCGATTGGGTGGGAGGAGGGTAATCGTTGGGTATTATTATTTTTGACTATGACATCATTTAATAATACTATTACTTAGTAAAATTAATTACTCGATAGATAATATTTAGTATTTGGTTTGAAATAAATATCCCTTTGGACTCGAATTTCTTCGATTTCTAGCATCTTCTATTTAATTACATTTTCAGTGGTCAAGATGTCCTGCTTGGTTAGATAATACTTGCGACGATCTTGGTTTTGTTCGGCAATGAGCTAGTTTTGTTGCCCCACTAATTTGGTTAATTTATCCATATTTGCAAAAAGAAACTGCAAGTTATCAGATATCTTTTCAACTGCATCTGCCTCTGTTGATAAACACATGACATTTGAAGCAATTTTGCACTGTGTCTTCATGCAGTCGTATTCGTGGTATGGACTTTGATCCGCCGCTGGCAATTTCATCAGTACTTGAAAGCATGGCATCCAAAAAATCGCTGGCGACATCAACAGTATTAATGTAAACCCCAAATGAAGAGCTATTTGTGATGACTTCCACGGCCGCATGTATTCCGCAAATTATTTTTCTTCCTCACAGGGGGTTAGCGAAAACTTCTTGAATTTCCCTCCTCCAGTAGCTCTGCTTCTGCATTTGTTATTTGCGATTTTCTTCCAGATGCAGCCTTTCCCATCGGACCATACCTATTAAAAAATGTTAGAGGTGGCGATATACAGAGGGTTTTTTTTTGTACTATTAATTTCTTTTTCAATCCCTTTACGAAATTTCATTGGAAATACCCGAAAAAAGTTCTTTGAAAATTTTAGCACTTAATATTAACATAAGGAACTGGACCAAGGCACGTAAAAATTTCCATAGAAAATACACTACAATCGTAATTTTTTATATTTTTCAGAATTGTTCACTCTACAAATGTGCCCAGTGCAACAAAGTCGTAGCTCACACCTGCGAGGTAGGACAAGACTCTAAACCTGATTTTACCTTGAAATTCGCATTTTTTTTTAATATATATATAGCAAATGACAATAGCTATAGATAGATGATCATGACAAACTTGTAGGAAATTTTATTTGCTACAAAAAAGATCCGAGGTCAAAATCGCTATCATTAATACTTCTTGAGATATTAAACTTTTTAAGTAAGGCTGTATGGAAATTTCATACCACCTATGAAAATTCTATAAAGACCCTGGTCGAGCAAATACCATTGGCGACTGAAGTACTGTTGCATAGGACTCCTTTATGCGTTGGCGGCTTTCGGACGCTCTGTAAAAAAATAACCCGGGGTGACTGAAGTACTTTCGCGTAGTACTCCTTCTGGTTATATTTTTTGGTTATCATGCGCCAGTTAGCGACGCTGAAGATAGAAAATTCCGGCATTATAAACAACAGACAAAATTCCATAACGAAAAGCCGATAAGCATAATAAAACTAGCCTTGTTCTAGTAAAAAAATTAAAAAAGAAAATATCTATATGCATAAATAGATGAATTTTCGCGAAAAAGAGGAAATTCAGTGAATTGCCTTATCATCACATGGCAGCGCTCCATTTCGTCGTAATTTTTAGCACACAAATGATGTTCACTACGAGTGTAAAATATGTATATTTAAAAAAAAAAGTTTAAAATATGGATTTATTTAAAAGTTAAATTTAATTTAATTAATTTGAAAGGAGTAAAGTGTGTAAAATAGCTTCTTGAAATGATCGAATTTTTGGAATTTTTGAAGCGTTTCCTGTTTCCGACCGTGCCTTCAAATCGCGGCGCCAAAGAAATCGGAATTGTACCATTTTTGTAATAACTGGCTCATATACTTACCCATATCAAAATGTCAAGCAATTAGCGAAATCGATTTCTAGACCAACTGCGTTGTTGATTGCGGAGTCACCGTTGAGGGTCATTTGGCGGTAGGAATAACGCAGGTTAAGGAGCAGGTAATTGCAACCTGTGAAACATCAGCGCTGGGTGGTTTGGCATTGAAACTTTTGATCAATTCTTTTATTTAGGAATGTTACATGGCGGTAGGCAATAATTAGTCCATTTTATGCTTACAGGTTTTGCTGCCGGTCTAATCATAACGGTCCATTCTCCTCTCAAACTCTAGCTACCTAACTTGCAGCTTCTCCATCTGCTCCTGCTCCTTCCCAAACAGCCACATCACACAAACATTCTTCTTTTTTACTGGCGCTTACGCGACTATAGCCGAATTAACAACAGGGAGCCAGTCGTTTTTKTTCCTTTTCGCTATGTGACGCCAATTGGATATTCCAAGCGATGCCAGGTCCTTCCAACGGAGCGGAGGTCTCTTCCTCTACCTCTGCTTCCCCCGGTGGGTAATGCGTCGAATACTTTCAGAGCTGAAGTGATTTCGTCCATTCGAACAACATGACCTAGCCAGCGTAGCCGCTGTTTTTTAATTCGCTGAACTTTGTCAATGTCGTCGGATATCTCATACAGCTCATCTTTCCTCGAATGCGATATTCGCCGTTTCCAACGCGCAAAGGACCATAATTCCTTCGTAGAACCTTCCTCTCGAAAACTAGCAACGTCAACTCCTCAGTTGTTGCCATCGTCCAAGCCTCTGCGGAGTTTGGTTTTTGCTCGTCGAGAGAGAACTTGGCTTCTCAATTGCCTACTCAGTCCGAAGTAGCACCGGTTGGCAAGAGTTATCCTGTGTTGGATTTCCAGGCTGACATTGTTGGTAGTGTTTATACTGGTTCCMAAATAGACGAAATTATCTACGACTTCGAAGTTATGACTGTTAGCAGAGATGTGAGAGCCAAGCCGCGAGTGCTATGATTGTTTGTTTCATGACAGGAGATATTTCGTCTTGCCCTCGTTCACTGTCTGACTCATTTGCTTTGATTCCTTGTCCAGTCTGGAGAAAGTAGAACTAACGGCGCGGGTTTTGGGGCCGCTGATATTAATATCATTGGTATACGCCAGGAGCTGTACACTCTTATAAATGATTGTGCCTTCTCGATTAAGTTCTGCAGCTTGAAATATTTTCTCCAGCAGCATATTGAAGAAGCCGGACTATAGAGTCGCAGTATATGAAACCTCGTTTGGTATCGAAGTCCTTTCCGATCCGTACCGAGCTTTTGGTGTTGCTGATACCAAATTCAGACATCGCGGCATAAAGGCAGCTCCTTTTCGTTCAGTAGAAAGCAACTTTGAAATCGACGAAAAAGTGGTGTGTGTCGATTCTCCTTTTCGGGTCTTATGCAAAATTTGGCGCATKGTGAATATCTGGTCAGTTGTTGATTTATCGGGTCTAAAACCGCACTGATAAGGTCCAATCACATTGTTGACGGTGGGCTTTAATCTTTCACACAATACGCTCAATAGAACTTTATTCGTCATTTTGAGGAGGCTTGGTGCAGATTGTGGGGTCTCCATTTTTGTGAATTGGACAGAGCACACTTAAATCCAATCGTTGGGCATGCTTTCGACCGACCATATTTTGCAGTTCTTCGTCGCCATGTTTGGATAGCTCGGCCGGTAATCCATTGGCTCCCTCCTCTTTGTTGTTCTTCAGGCGGGTAATTGCTATTAGAACCTCTTCATTGTAGGGCAATGGAACGTCTGCTCCATCGCCATCGATTGGGGAATCGGGTTGGCTTTCTCCTTACGTTGTACTTTCACTGCCATTCAGCAGGGTGGAGAAGTGTTGGAGTAATTTATTCAAAAAATTGGCAACACCAAATTTTTGTCTTTACATCAGCAAAGCATCATCAAATAATTGTACAACAGTTACTGCAATGCTGTAATTTTTATTTAGCTCGAACGCACACATTATTTAACATAAATACCTTTATTCGTACATGTACTAAATAGATTTTAAACACAAAATTACAAATAAGCCACTTATTTAGTTTTATTCCCACTTAAAAGGAAGTAAAATGTGCAAATACCGTAACATTTATTATAATAAATAAATGCTTATGTTTATAATAGATTATAATGTAACTCGCATCCCTTGCATTTGAAGGTTCTGCGAGAGGCGTTAATATCCATGGCTACAATAGATATCCTTTATCATCTAACAACTCCGAATCATTTTCTGTTTTGTGGGAATAAATGTTAAGGATGTGGTCCAAAATTCCAAATAAAAATTGTGAGCATATGAGTTTTTAAATTTACGCCAGCAAAAGGTAACCCTTGCAAAGTTATGAAACCTCATAATAGTGAGGCTGTTAATTTCTCTGCTCCTAGGGGTAGCACGGCGACGAACGAATCTGCGTAAGATATGTGTATGATGTGTTGTGCTTGAAGGGTGATATGGTATGGAAGTGACGCGGGGTGGGTGAATAGATTTAAGTCGTATATGATAACGTGGAATCACTTACGTGGAATCACAACCACTTGCACAAAGAGTAATAAAAATATCGTGGAATATTTTAATGTATGTATTTATCTTATAAAAATCAAATATTTATATTAAGACTTAAGGTAAGACAAATTAAATGTAAGTAAATCACGAGACTCCAGGTCTAAGAGAAAATGAGAGCTTCGGCCGCGAATTATTTTTCCCTAATATCATTTTTTGCTCTTCTTTTACACGCTTTTCTTCTTCTTTACGCATTCGCTGACGTTTTTCTTCCATGAGACGTTGCTCTTCTATCATCGCCAATCGTTCTTCAGCCTAAAAATACAAAATAATCCAATTTAGTTCAGATTCAAATAAGTATATAAGGAATATTCTGCAGTAACTAGTCTGTATTTTATTTTAAAAATTCGCGTTTAATTTTATCCACTCGTTGATCAGAAAGGTTCAATATAAAATATTCAGAAGATTTATCATGAATCGCTTCAGATTGATATCTCATATATTGAGTGCCCAGTTGTCGTACAGACGGACATGTCTAAATTGTTTCAGTTCGTCACACTGATAATATAAATATAAGGACGTATTTAATTCAAATTTCGCATTTTAGTAAAAACACAACAACCAATTGGCTTCACCAAGTTAATAAACAAAATATTACAACTCACTTCACCTAGAGTATATTCAGATGAGCACTAAATTTTTCACGCAAACAGTATTTTATCGTCGAGTGACGACTAGGGGGGACCAAAAGACCGTACCTCTCGTGATCGTGGCACCATTTGACGATATTCGAGTAACGACGTGGTGTTCCAACATTTGAAAAATCGACATCAGCAAAATTTGTTTATTTTAGTTTATAATTAATTCATATAATTTATTGCATTTCAAGTAAATATAATACACTCGGGGCCATGCACACCTTACCACTATCCTTTCCTAATTTTTTTTCCGGTATTTTTCGTTCGTTCGGGGTTGTTTTCAATTTGGCGGTTTTTATGTTTTTAGTAAGCATAAGTGGATAAGTGGTACTGGAGGATAGAGTCATGTGTAGAAGTTCACGTAAGTGAGGAAAGTTTTCTGACAGCTCATGACTTCCCGTCGCTGAAGTATCCTCTGGGTAGCCTAACAACATCCGTTTGAAGGCGAGCTAAAGTGAGAAGGCGAAATATCCCCTACATAAGGTTGTGCTCTAGGTTTGGGACCCGCCACGTAAAAAAAAGCACCTCCAATGAAAACGAACAACAGTCTCGGATGAGAGACCCCGTTTTGCTGACGACCATGGCAAACTAAATAAGGACTACGAATTGAGGGCATGCACCTGGATTGTCCGGTCCCTTAATTGGGAAGGTGCCGCTGCCCAGCTGGTTGATATCTTCGTTAGAGTGAAGGCTGGACGGCGGTGATCCAAGAAATGCGATGGACGGGAGAAGGCCAGAGACGAGTAGGTCCTTGTGGCATTCACTACAGTGGCGATATAAAAGAACGCAACTTTGGTGTGGGATTCGTGGTGGGAGAGAAACTTCGTCGCCGAGTACTTTCATTCACTCCGGTGAATGAACGTCTAGCCCCAATCCGCATCAAAGCGAGGTTCTTCAGCATATCGCTGATTTACGCCCGCGCCCCGACGGAAGAGAAGGACGATGTGACCAAAGATGAATTTTATGATAGCTTGGAAAGCACTTATGAGAGCTGCCCCCGCCACGATCTCAAAATTTTGCTTGGCGACTTTAAAGCCAGGTTGGGCAAAGAAGGTATCTTTGGCACTACGGTCGGTAAATTCAGCCTCCACGACAAAACATCCCCAAATGGGTTGAGGCTGATCGACTTCGCCGGGGCCCGAAATATGGTTACCTGTAACACTAGATTCCAGCATAAGGACATATATCAAGCTACCTGGATGTCTCCGGATCGAAAAACCACCAACCAGATCGATAATGTTGTGATAGACGGAAGACACGTCTCGAGTGTTGTAGATGTGCGTCCGCTCCGACGTCCTAACTGCGACTCGGACCACSATCTTGTTGCAGCCAAGCTTCGCACCCGCCTCTGTGCAGCAAAAAGCGCACGTCAACAAATACAACGAAGGTTCGACGTCGAGAAGCTGCAATCGGCTTGCACTCCTGCGAGAGCCCTCGTCAACAACTCGGTATAAGGGAACAGTGGGACGGCATTTCGAACCCCTTACGTACAGCTGCAACCGAAACCATTGTTTTTTTTTTTTGCAAAAAGAACAGCTGGAACGACAAAGAGTGCCGTGTCTCAGGGGAGAGAAAACAGGTTGCCTACCTCGCAACGTTACGATCGACCACAACACGTGCGGGATGGGATAGATACGAGACGCATTTGCAGACAGAAAAAGAAAGAGGCCGAAGTGCGTGAGTACGAAGAGCTTGATAAGCTGGCCGACAGGGGTAATGCTCCGCCTCCCCTGCGAATAGTAGGCACCTTGTCGTGGTGCAGGGACTGAAACTGCAACATAGTACGGCATCTCCCAACCTTCAGGGGTGATGCTGTATAGTATCTCCCAACAACAAAAACAATCAACAACAATAACCAAAACAGCAAACTCAAGAACAACAGAGCAAGAGTGGCCAAGGGGCTAGACGACAGTTCAGCTTCCTGGATGCCCTGTCGCCGGAAGAACGAGTACTCTTTGAGAAGCACGCACGCGACGACGACGAATGCCCTCCTGCAGYCTTACTCAGCGTAGTGTGTCCGCTGCGACCACAGCAAACCGCGCGAACGCCGCCCCCACAACCTCMTCAAACAGGATCGACTGCGGAGGGTGATTTCACAAAAGTGGAATCAAGGGACGAACGAAAAAGGAAACGGCAACGAGGGAACATCCCATGTACCCTGGAACCAGGACGCCCAGGAGGTCACGATGACCMACGCAGAGCAGGAATGAGTGGAGCCACTCTCAWGTAGTGGAAGCAAGAGGAAAACGCTCCAACCCCAACCCGCAGCCGACAAGAACCGCAAGCCGTAATTACTCCGAGGCCGTGAGAATTATCCGGATGGCTGTGGTGCCCCACAACTACCCACCGGAGGCCCTGGGGTCCGAACAGCAGATGGCTCTACAGGACTGCTTAGTAAACGCCTTATCTATGGGCGACGGCTACACCAGCGCCTTTAACGGCATTTTCTTCAGGGGCGGTATGCTGCTGGTCGATTGCCAAGATGAGAGGTCGGCCACCTGACTGAAGCCAGTCATGCCAAGGATAGAGGGTTGGAAGGCTCCGGCCCTGTGCGCTAAGAGAGGCGAGGAAATACCACAACTTCTCAGCATGGTGGCGTTCTTTCCTAGAAGTGAGGACAGGAATTACGACTTCGCGCTTAGGTTAGTGAGAAACCAAACGAGGGCTTAAACACAACGGTTAGGAAGGTCGTAGCGAGTAGTGCTGAGGGTTCAGGGTGAAACCTCAACATAAAAGTTGATGACGAATCCTATAAATACATCAGGCAAAAAGGATTCAAGCTGAACTTCTTCTTCTTCTTGATTGGCGTAGTCACCGATTAAGCGATTATAGCCAAATTAACAAACGCGCGCCAGTCGTTTTTTTTTCGCTACGTGGCGCCAATTAGATATTCCAAGTGAAGACAGGTCCTTCTCCACTTGGTCCTTTCAACGGAGTGGAGGTCTTCCTCTTCCTCTGCTTCCCCCGGCGGGTACTGCGTCGAATAGTTTCAGAGCTGGAATGTTTTCGTCCATCCGGACAACATGACCTAGCCAGCGTAGCCGCTGTCTTTTAATTCGCTGAACTATGTCAATGTCGTCATATATCTCGTACAGCTCATCGTTATATCGAATGCGATATTCGCCGTGGTCAACGCCCAAAGGACCATAGATCTTTCGCAGAACTTTTCTCTCGAAAACTCGCAACGTCGACTCATCCGTTGTTGACATCGTCCAAGCCTCTGCACCATATAGCAGGACGGGAATTTTGTGAGACTTATAGAGTTTGGTTTTTGTTCATCGAGACTGTACTTCTCAATTGCCTACTCAGTCCGAAGTAGCACCTGATGGAAAGAGCTATTCTGCGTTGAATTTCCAGGCTGACAATGTTGGTGGTGTTTACGATGGTTCCAAGATAGACGAAATTATCTACGACTTCAAAATTATGACTGTCAACAATGACGTGCGTCTACTGCTTGTATGATCACAGGAGATATTTTGTCTTACCCTCGTTCACTGCCAGACCCATTTGTGTTACTTCCTTGTCCAGTCTGGAGAAAGCAGAACTAACGGCGCGGGTGTTGAGGCCGCTGATATCAATATCATTTGTATACGCCATCTTATAGAAGATGGTGACTTCTCTATTTAGTTTTGCAGCTCGAACTATTTTCTCCAGAAACAGGTTGAAAAAGTCGCACGATAAGGAATCGCCTTGTCTGAAACCTCGTTTGGTATCGAACGGCTCGGAGAGGTCCTTCCCGATTCTGACGGAGCTTTTGGTACTGCTCAACGTCAGCTTACACAGCCGTATAAGTTTTGCGGGGATACCAAATTCAGACATCGCGGCGTAAAGGCAGCTCCTTTTTGTGCTGTCGAAAGCAGCTTTGAAATCGACGAAGAGGTGGTGAGTGTCGATTCTCCTTTCACGGATCTTTTCCAATATTTGGCGCATGGTGAATATCTGGTCGGTTGTTGATTTTCCAGGTCAGAAGCCACACTGATAAGGTCCAATCAGTTTGTTGACGGTGGGCTTTAGTCTTTCACACAATACGCTCGATAGAACCTTATATGCGATATTAAGGAGGCTTATCCCACGGTAGTTGGCGCAGATTGTGGGGTCTCCCTTTTTGAGGATTGGGCATAGCACACTTAAATTCCAATCGTTGGGCATGCTTTCGTCCGACCATATTTTACAAAGAAGCTGATGCATGYTCCTTATCAGTTCTTCGCCGCCGTGTTTGAATAGCTCGGCCGACAATCCATCGGCCCCGCAGCTTTGTTGTTCTTCAGGCGGGTAATTGCTATTCGAACTTCTTCCTGGTCGGGCAATGCAACGTCTGCTCCATCGCCATCGATTGACGAGTTGTTAGTTCACTACCATTCAGCAGGCTGGAGAAGTGTTCCCTCCATAATTTAAGTATGCTCTGGGCATCGGTGACTAGATCACCTTTGGGGGTTCTGCAAGAGTATGCTCCGGTCTTGAAACCTTCTGTACGCCGCCGCATTTTTTCGTAGAATTTTCGAGCATTACCCCTATCGGCCAGCTTATCAAGCTCTTCGTACTCACGCATTTCGGCCTCTTTCTTTTTCTGTCTGTAAATGCGTCTCGCTTCCCTCTTCAACTCTCGGTATCTATCCC